AGGTCTACTGTTTCTTCCAGTTTTGACATTGAATTTCACTTAGTAAAAAAAGAGAGAAAGATAGGACTGGGACTCCCCACTGGAGAGTGAGGCATTTCTTTGCCCCTACTTTCCTGCTAGGAACCCTCCCTCCCTAGCACTCTTCCTCCCCCATTCTTGCAGCTCTGCACCCCATTTCCTGGCTACCACCCCCCAGCTATAGGAAACCCAAGGAGGTGGCACCATGAATGAGACAAAAGGCAATGGCTGGGAGGTCCAAAATCCAGGCCTAGTTCTGCAAGCCAGGGACCCAGAAAAGCTGGAAAGCTGCAAATGCAAGGTTTGGAGCAACAAAGCTGGCAGCACATCTTGACTGACCACCGCTCCTCCAGAATTCACATGTCCAGCCCTTCCGCTTTTTGGTTTCTGGCTGCTTCTGGGGGGCGAGTCTTCCAAATCCCAGTTCACACAGCCAGGACCTGGGGCAGAGGGCCTGGGGAGGTGACAGCTTCCTTTAGGCATATCTATTCTTGCCCATAATCTTATAGTAGAACCTGAAACTGAGTAACTGTTGCTATGATTATTAAAGTAATTTTTTGAAAAAAAGGGAATGAGATTCAGATTTTCTTAACAATTTGTTCAAATGGCAACAGTCTGGAGTTGTAACTAACTGTCCTAAAGGTAAAAGATGTTGCAAATTCCTAATTCCTATGAAGTTGTTTGTTCCTGCTTCTTTTACACACACACACACACACGCACGCACGCACGCACGCACGCGCACTCGCACGCATGCGCGTGCCTACACACACGCACACACACACACACACAAAATATTCAGGGGAAATGAAATATTCTTAAGTACTCAGCATGAGGAATAAAGAAAAAATACATTTTCCATAGGCATGGCCTTACTTCCATCTCCTTAAAATTCTACCCCTTAGTTCAGGACAAATGAAGAGGAAAGTACTGGAATGTCTGAGCAGGCCTGAAGGCCGATCCTCAGCAGGAGGCAAGCAGCTGCAGGGCATGCTCAGGCAGAATGACTGCTTCATTTCTTTATTAACACCACCACCTACAGGGACTGCTTTGAATAGATGGTGTGGCGTAGTCCAGAGAGCCTTACAAGAAAAACAACATTCAGAACAATTGCACCACATTTTTTTTCAACTTCCTGTTTATTAGTATTTTATCTAAGAGCAGAACAAAAGTCTGTATAAATGGGGGAAAAGAAAACAAAAGCATACACTACAAAGTCTTGCTCACAACACATGCACAAAAGACCTTTTCAAGTGCTATTTCATTTTGATTTTTTAATTGAACCCACTTTGGGACTTCAAATGTCTCTCATCTCATGTCTCATCTCATGACAGAGTTTAAGAGGAAATAAATGGAATTCATTATCTTACACAAATTATATATTATTAGAAAAATTAAGTGGATTTGTTTTCTCCACGTCTGGATGATAGTATGATGTATTTCTACACTAGAAAAGTACACATTGTAGCAGTGAGATTTTGCATTTTGCTAGATTTATCCATGAAGGCAATGAAAATACAAAAGTCAAAGCTTGGTTGCTTAAAAGAAGAATGAGCATGAAAAGCTTCTGTTGAGTTTCCCAGGCTCCAAGGTGGACAAAGGGCAGAGCCACCTTTATTTCTCTTAACTTTGCTAGGGTCATCCCAGATAAGACATGAACTCAATGCTAAATTCAGTGATGTCTGTGAATTCTGTCTTTCTTCCTAAATTGGCCACCCTGCAATTCTTAGGGTTCCTTCCCTGCCCACCTTTTGTATAAGATTCAGGACCAGTGAGATTCAGGGAACAATGAACAGCCATCAAACTTAAAACATTGATCTTGATGGCCACATTTTCTCTTGAAAACAACCTGGAATGTCCGGTCTGTTTTTGTGCTCATGTGTTCATAAAAAACCTAGGCTCACTTCCACTGAAGCCTTTTCTTTTATATCCCTTATCCTAAACTCCACTGTCTCTCAGTTATTTTGAATCCTGTCTTCCATACTCAAGGAAGATACCTAAAAATCTCAGGAATTGCCTGAGATTTTTCCTGTGTTCCAGCAATCCAGAATTGGATTATCATTTACCTTCCATTAACTTGTATGGCGTTGCTTAAGTATTCCTGATACTGATTATCCTGTTCACATAAAAATGAGTAGGAGCAAATACGAGGAGACCTCCTATTGTATGAGGTAACAAAAAACATATCTGCAGATAGGGAAGGCATAAATCAAAGCTGAAATACAAACTTGGCACTGATCAAGACCAGTTTAACTAATCAGAAACAGACTGTGAAAGCTCAAGCAGAACAAATAAGTATCTTTTCTAAATGAAAAGAGCAGTGAGGCACTAAAAGTGAACAGAACAATCACAGTAAACAATTGAAGTTCACCAGACAATACAGCAGCCATGGTTTGCTGGCTGGTTGTAATCTCTGAGAACTCACGGCTATGTCTTGGACATGAAAGAAAAGAACGTGGGGTTGTTTTGTTTTGCCAAGTGGCCTTGATCAACCTTTTTAGTGGCCAAATCTGGGAAAGGAGACTCTTAATGGAGAGAACATCCCTGTGGCTTCTTAACTGACAACTACAGATGAGCCCTTAGGTGATTCCTTCTGTTAAGGCAGGACTTGCTCCTAGACATCAGATTAGACAAAACATTGCAACATTTCATCAGCACTGAAAAGCTTTTTGGAAGCAACTCAATTCACTGACTTCAGCTAAATGACAGAGTAAGTCAGAAAGACAATATTCTTGTGTCTTCTTCACAGAAAGAAAATATGAATGCATGAAATGAGAAGGTCCTCTTCAAACATGAAAGACAACTCTTCATGCCGAATAAGAAAGGAACTAGATGCTCAGCACCAGGAGCTGGGGCTGCTGGGAGGGGGTGGAAGACATGACAAGGGCAGACAGTCAGTGAATAGGAACTGTCCCACCACCAATTTCACACTGGTTTGAGAAACAATGGACGCGATGCTCACTTTGTAAAGGGGTTACCTCGTATGCTGCTGTGCTCCCTTTTCCAGCCAGCCTACAAAAGGGATAACTAGTGTGAACTAGGCGGCAACTAGGAAATCAAACTATGACTCCTTTGCATATGAGTAAAATCTACTGCACTTCTGTGGTTCGCACCTCCAGTGTCCTATTCTCAATTTCCATAACTCTGTCTCCAGGAGAGGAGCAGAGCTATGGCAAATCAGTTAGTACAGCACAGTCCTCTACTGACTCTGATTGGTTCAGGGATAGGCAATCATTTCAGATGGTCCAATCAGAGTGAATCTCAGCACTTTTGAGGGGGATTTTGGAACAAAAATTCCTTTCTGTTGAATTTCAACTTGGCAGTACAAGTGGCAGCCACTTTGAGACCATGAGAGTTGAGTCTATCTGAAAAGGAAGGTAGCACATTAGAAATTGAGCCAAGAGGAGAAAAAGAAGCTGAAATGTTTTCAGTTCATTTCAGTATCTATGCCAACCCTCTTCTAAGATTGTTTATTTACCTGATGTGGTAAGTTCTGGCTTTTTCTTAAACTACTTTGAGCTGGGTTTTCTGTCGTTTTTAAGCAAAAGTGTCTTACTTCAATCGGAAATGCCTCTGCAAGTATTTACTAGTCATTTCTAGAGGAAGATGTGTCTAAAAGTGTGTATTCCTCTTCTTTCATGCACGTTATACTCATTACTATTCATGTTAAATTTAACAGTTAATTAAAGACACAGAAATGAGGTCTTGAAGAGCTAAACATATAAAGGCTTTTGGTTTTCATATCATAACAAATAATGCTTATAGGTTTCTTGGCATCATTGGTTTCTCACTGAGGTTCAAAATAACTAAGTGTCATAAGGGCTTTTAAAAGATTTCACACAGGCTATACTGGAAATAACAAGGAATATGATCCAACTTTTATCCAAGTCACTTTTTCAAATAGTTCTTAATATTATAAGCTTTGATTTGCTTCACAGAAACAACACTAGTTATGAGGTCATTCACTCACATGTCATTCACTGACAGGTCATTCGATCTGTCCTATCTTCCATTCATTCATCACTGTATAGTTCATTGTACAAATAAAAAGGACTGTGACATTGAACCTAGAATTTCAGGAAACCAACACCCACATAAGCTAAGAACCTGGGAAGGAACCCCAGCCAAACTTCCATGGGCAGTGACTAATGAATTGAAGACAGCTGGTGTCACTGAATTATCACTGATCACCAGGCCAGGCAGTCCATCAGACTAGAGGTTGTCCCCATTGCTGCCTTCGTGACCTCTCTGGTTATGAATGGCTTCTGATCATGGATGCTCCAATTCAGCTTCTCTCCACTTCCCAGGGAGGAATCTGGGGTGCCACACTTCCTGGGTGTAAGCCTCTTTTTGGCACTGGGAATATACTACCCAGGTGAACTCCGTGGGTATTGATTCTTACTTTTTTAGTGACTAGCTCACTACCATTTTACAGGTAAGGGGGATCTGATCTTTGTCCAACCAGATTGGAAGTTTTGTGGGTTTGTCTCTAGGTAGATTTCCAATTTTCTGGACCATCAGAGCTCCTCATCTGCCCTTTAGGAAAAAACAATGACAGAAAGGGAAGGAAAGAACCCCTTCATTTTGCCACTGCCCATTAGTTGTCTACTAATTCCTTGTCAGGATGCTCCCAGTCCAGTCCCTCTTACTGGCTCAGAAGGCCATAGACTTTTCACACCAGTCTTCCTAAAATGTTGCTTTGGCTATGGAATTCCCCTGCTCAAGGACCTCCTGTTCCCTCTCTTGTGTCCAGTACAGAATTTAAAGTCTCTGTCAGTCTGAGAAAGATTTCTATGGAAGTGTAGGAAGATTATTATACTAACAATGCACTGTTTTCCCCTTCCATCCATCTGTGCTTTTTATTAAGCAAAGATAAAGTGAGCCTTATGTTAATTTGCTCAGGTTGTCATAACAAATACTACACTCTGGTTGGCTTAAGTAAAGAAATTTATTCTCTCACAATTCTGGAATCTAGAAGTCTGAGATCAAACTGTTGGCAAGTTCAGTTTCTTCTAAGGGCCCTCTCTTGGCTTATAGGTGGCTGTCTTCCCCCGTGTCCTCACATGGTCTTTCCACCACATCCCAATCTCTCCGAAGAAGGACACCAGTCATACTGGATTTGTTTCTACCTGAATGATCTCATTTTAACTCAGTTACCTCTTTGAAGAGCCATCTCCAAATGCAAGCGCATTCTAATATACTGGCGATTGGGACTTCAACATATGAACTTGGAGTAGGCCCAGAACAAGCTACTACAGGGCGAGGTAAGGGGTATGGGAAAGGCTTGGAAGGAGAAAAAGATGGATAAAACCTGGTTTCTACTTTCAGGCAGATAAAATCCCACTTATCCAGAGGGAGGCCTTTCTCTTCACTCACACCAGTACCTGCTCCGGCCTCCATTTGGTTATCTCTGGTGCTCTTTCGCCCTCCATCTGCTCCATCCTGCAAGGCTCAGTCTCGGTCTCCCCGCTCCCACTGTCAGAACCCCTGAGATTACCTGACCCTCCCCAGTGGCCTCTGGGGGCTCTCACTGCACTCGGTGACCTCCAGATCTCCACTCCTGGCCCCAACTTGACTGGCTAGTGACCTCCCCTGAGGAGGGTCTAGTGCAAGGCTGTAAGCATTCAGTTTCAAACAAATACTTAGCTGTCACAGGATAGAAGTTTTCTCTCCTCTTCTGCTTTCTAACTCCTAAAAGCCACCAGAGGGCAAGAAGTGTATCTGCTTCTCCAGTCTATCTCTGCATCTTTTGGGTTATATCAGAGTGCTGAAATATATTCTAGTCAGGACTTGCTGGGTGGCTTTTTAGTACCAATAAGTGAAATCCTCACTCAGCCTACCTTGATGAAATATTCTTTTTAGTGTTTTATTTTTACTCACTTTCTGCCCCAAATTACGTGTATGAGAAGTGACATCTTGTTCTGTGGGGCAAGAATGCCTTTCTCACAAATGTTAACCATGTACGCTTGGGTGAAATCTAAGTTGAAAAATAACAAAGGTGTCTTAAAACATTATGTATCTGTGAACAAATGGCCCTGTCTTAACCTTTTCTTCTACTGTCATTGGCTGGAAATGCTCCCTTATGTATTGGCATTGGGAAATGAACGACCAACTTCTCTTTGAGTACAGCCTGGACAGTTGCAGGCAGACCCCTCAGAATTTTCTCTGCTCTCTCACGCGCAATGTGGCCAACTTGGTAGTTGAGCTCATGCACCCTGGTGCCCAACTACCTGACTGCAAAACCAGGCCCCGCTGCCTACTGGCTGTGTGACCTTGAACAAGTTCCTTAACCTCTCTATGCTTGATTTTCCTGACCTGTAAAATAGGGATCGGATGGCAAGAGGATGAAATGAGATCAGTTAGATGATGAACCTGATCTAGAGTCTGATTCACATTTGGTCCCAGGGAAAGAGGAGTTATGTGATAGCACATTATACTTCACAGCTGTCTGCCCCTTTAAACTGTGAGCTTCCCAAGAAGAAGAGCGCTATCCTTTGGAACGTAGTAATCATCCAGGTAACATTTGTGGGAATCAACACATAGAACTAACTCAAGTTCCAGTTTTAAAACTCTTTTTCCCCTTTCTAAAATGTAACAAGAAAGATGCATAGCCCTTTAAAAGCTTTCAGCGAACTAAATAAAGCCCTCCCCGCTCTAATCTTTTGGCCTCATCCTTAAGTTTTCCATACAAACACCCCACAATTCTGCTTAACAGAATTACACAAGTGCAAATTATCTTTTTCTCAATGTTCCTGGAAATAAATACTTTTATATAAGAAGTTACTGATAAAAAGCTTTCCCCACCATGGAAGAATGAAAGTAATATCATGATTTTCATCCTGGAGTGAAATGAACAGGGACTGAAATTACAGCTGAAAAAAACACCTGGAGGCACCTTCCCTGGCAGCCACTGCTACCTCCTTGCGGCTGCCCTGCCAGCACCAAAGCTGCATGCTCAGGGCTGTGAGGCTCATCCTGAGCCTGAGTCACAGTCTCTGCTCTCAACCCCACACACACTGGTGCTGGTTATTTTTATTATGTGGCAATTTAAAAAATATGAACTTAACTATGTATGCAAAAATTTTGCCTTGCTTATGTTAAAATAACTCTTATACCATAGGTTACACAAATGCCAAGGTCTTCGATTATTTACTTACCTAATTATCTACAAACAGACACACAGATATCTGAGAATATCATGGGATCTGAGGCTCTGGAATGGGGGCCATCCTTCTAGAACATTCCTCATTGTCTACCAGTAAGGATACCAGCCACTTGCTGGTTGAAGACAGAGCAAAAAGAAACATGGCAATGAAGGTTTCTGCTTCTACAAAGCTATAAGCATATACATTTTACAGCGGAAAATCTGAGACTTAGAGCAAAGAAAATCTGAGACTTAGAGCAAGAGAAAAGCAACCTATACAAAAACATCTTGTTTTTGTGCCCCTCACCCTCCACCAAATTACCTTGCCACTTGGAGACATTAGCTAGTCAAACACAGCAGAAAATACGCAGTCATATAATTTTCAAAGGACTACTAACCCAAAATGCCTTGCAAAACTTCAGGGGTGAAGACGAAGTGGGTGAAGCTATTGTTCCATGGGCCTCCTTTGGTCCCTGAGGGCTGAACTCTTCCCCAATAAATAGCAGGCCATGGGCTACACTGACCCTTAGGTACTGGCCTTGAGACTCCCCAACAGACTCAGAAGCTGACAACTGAGGGGGGAAAGAGAAGCAACAACTCTTTAAAAATGATTTATCTCCATTTTCCAGAACTTGCCCTGCCACACAAGATGCGACAGGTTGTGGATGTCGCATCTGTCTCACCGAGAGAGACAGGTTCAAACATACAAGAAGGAAAGGATGGTGCTTTATTCCTCATAGAGTGCGACCAGAAACTACTGCTGTCCTGAACTCCAGGTGTGTATTCTGGCTTCATACTCGCTGTCCCCGACCCTTGGTTGCTCTCCCACTGCCTCTGTGGGCGGCTGGAGGGCGCCAGGGTGTCCGTGGGCCTGTGCTGTTAGGAAACAAGGCCCTCCCCACAGCCAGGGTTTCAGTTTCACTAAGCAGCAAACACCATTATGCAAATGATTTTCTTTGTCCATGCCCCCACCCCCATCGCTGTCTTACATTTTCATTCTTGACTCTGAAATTAATGTACACACGGGGCCAACTAAATATTTGCATCATCTTCTCTTGAAAATGCCCAGGTGTAATTTTGAAACAAGATTCTCTTTTCAGAAGGGCAATCACGAATATAAAGTAATGAATTAGAAGCCGTGTCAAGAGTAGAACCCTGAGGCTAGCGCCAAACTTCTAACATAAATGGAGCGTTGAAAGGCACGTGCCAGGAATCACAGGAGTTGAAGAAGGAGATACCTGGGGGTGTGCTCTACTCCTTCGAGTGGGTCTGAGGGGAGACAGGCCCCACTGAGAGTGGACAGGTAGCCTCAGGCACTGCAAGCTGCAGTCTTGCCTGCTCCTGGAATCCTCAGTCTGGTGGGGTTTAGGAAAACAAAAGTCTAGTTCACATGCAAGTCACGTTCTCAGAACTGAGAACCACAGTCATTTTTACCTACATTATATATGATACAGTCACAGTTTAACTCAAGTGATTTGAAGTAACATCCACAAAGATAATTCCCTCCGACAAAAAAATATCCCAACCGGAAAGAGCGATAATAAAATTTAGGGATATTTTTCCTCCTCAACCATCAGTTTAAGAACAAAATAATTCTTTTAAGATGTAATCATTCACATTTCACTGACGAGATTCACATAATCTTGGTGGATGGTTTTGAATTTTTTCCTCTAAAAGATGTCAAGTGGATACACAGCAGGAGCCATTTGCTGAATAGCAATTTCTGTTTCCCTGAAAGACATTCTCCCTTGGTCCCACTTAGCCCCCGTTTCATTTTCAAGGTGCTTTGGCAGGGTTCATGTGAAGCTCACAGCTGCAAGGAAGTGGCAGATAACTCTGTAAATTATCCTGAGTGCAAAGAAAATCTAGTTCATTTATAAAAAGCTCGTCGAGTAATTATAAACTCAACTGCAGGTGGGAAACTTTTATAAGACAAAAACTACTGAAGCACAGCCACCTCTCGGAAAGCCCCAAGCAGGAAGAAATCCTCTAGTGACTTGACCCTCAAGGTAAAGCTGACCCACATTGAGAGAGAGGTCCCACCAGTTACTGGAAGACCCATCAAATGTAACACGGGATGAAGCCCATTCTTTCCTGCAAGGGTTTCCAAGCAAACAGAGAGACTGTTTCTGCCTGTGTGAAAGGTCATGGGCACCAGGCTAGGTTGGGAAGTCTGCAGCTGCCCAGCTAGAGTGCACTTGGGTGTCCACTAATTCCCGGTCAGATGATGCCTTGAGCACCATCCTGCATTAAGTGTCCGCAAGATGGGTTCTCTTTCCACTTATAAGTGATCAAATAAGACTTTAGACAGGCTAAGTAACTCACCTGAGGTTTTGAAAAAGCGAGAACTCGAGGTGTTTTTTGGACTCCTATGCACTATTAAGTCTATGGAGCAACAAAGCTATCAACGCACAACTTCTGTCCAACTTCTGAACACCTTTTACTCCAGAGCAGAGTTCCCTTCCCTGCCATGAAGACCAAACTGATGGTCGCTCAGCCCATCTTGGTCTGTGTAGACATCTCTAGTTTGTGCTGGAGTATGGCACTGGGGATTTTATAGTTTCCACACCCCAAAACCATGTTCTCCAAAAGCTCTGTCAATAAAAAACTTTATCTTGGAAGCTGGTGGACTATCTTGGTTTAGGACTCACTCTATTGTCCTGACCTGCAAAGAACCCCGTTCCCACTCTTACTTTTGGATAGAATCTGAGAATCTGGGTTCTTTCCCATTATACAGGGGACTCTTGTGCACTCCCTTCCCTTCCTCTTTCCTGTGGTGCTTCGTAATGATTGCCACTGTGCAGCTGTGGGCTGATGCTGGGAGGGAGGTTTCCCTGTATTGTTAATGGTCACATGAATGGGTCTTCAAATCAACTTGCATATAGGTGTCACAGTTATATAAGTTTTGGTCTTCTTAGTCTCCAAGTACCCCCAGGCAGGGTGAATGAATTTTCACGGGATTCCTCAGGAACCTTTCCTGGAACTTGCCTCCCGTGTGTGTGTCTGAGGCACAAACTTCTCACACCCTCTCCCTACCTACTCCCCATACCTACCTGACCAACCATCTGATCTCAAGGTGTGAAACACCTTTACAAGGACTCACATGGATGCATCAGAGCAGGGTGATCTGAGACAGTGTCTGAGACCCCCAACCAGCTGAGCAATAGTAAGGAAACAGCTTCGATTCCTCGGGACACGGCTACCACTCACCCACAGACAAAGACTGAGCCCCCCAAATGACCAGACTTCATTCCTTGTGAGAGGAAGGATATTTCATAATTCAACCCAATGATTTCTAGAAAAATTATGAATCATCAAAGACCTGAAAAATTCGATTAAGTTATGTAACGCCTCCCAATCCTTTCTCAGAGGTGGATTCAAAAGACAGCAAGGGAAATGACTGGTAGGTTTTCAGGTGAAGAAGAGGTAAAAAAAAAGTTGGAGCAAACCAAGAAGTCTCAGCTGCTGCCAGCGCTGAAGGGAAAGGAAAGAGGCCAGAATTCAGGGCCTCAAATCAGGGTGAAGGAGAAGTGAGACCCAGAGGTGCTGTGGGCTGGTCTTCCCCTCATGTGAGGAGAGACATGGCTGAGCCCCCTCGGGGTATACCCCGAGGCTCTGTTGGGCAGGTACCAGGTCTCCTCATTCTCCAGTGCAGCCAGGAGGATGCCATACCTGTCCTCATATTTGTCAGTGCTCACTGGAGGGCTGTGACTCTAGCTTGGGGTCAAATCTTGGACCAGGCACTTTTCCATAGTTTTTCTGATCATTTTCCATTTAAAGTTGATGTGTAGAAGATGTAATTTCACCACTTGCCTCAAAGTCCTGTTTTCAATAAGACATTAAACTGGAGCATTTAACAAACATTCACTCAAGTAAGTCTTTAGGGATTTATATACCTGCAGATGTGTACATACATAACTTTTATTTATACACCACAGATCTGATGATGGTATTGGTGACTTGATTTTAGCTCTTCAAGACTAAGGAGTCTATCCGTCAGGACAGCTATGTCGTGTAACAAACACTACCTCCCCTATGTCAGCACCTTTCCAACTAAAGTTTCTCACTAACATGCATGTCTAGCATCTCTTATTTTTTTTTAAGATTGATTTATTTATGCATACAAGAGCTGGGGTGCGGGACAGAGCCATGGGGGGTGGGGTGAGAGGATTCACCAGAAACAGAGTGGTGAGCAGAACAGGAAGATATGGCACTCGCATATCTTTTGCCAAAGCAAATCATGTATTCATGTGAAACTTCCAAGAAGCCGTGCAATTACAATATCACTTGAGAGGAGAAAGAGAATACCCATGAACAGCAGTAATGCCTGCAGCCGGAAATACTGGGGTGAAGAAAAAAAGAATAGACCTAAGGAGGAGTAGGTCCATTGAGATTAAGAGTTAGCTTTTGTAGGTCCAGTCACTAACAGAATTCCTTTTTTTTTTCTCCAGGGAAAGAAGTCTTTTTCTATTAGCACACATCTCGTTTATTCTTCACAACCTCCCTAATAGGGGAGCACTTTGAAATTTCCAGTAAGGGCCAGGAAGGTTAAAATTGCTGCCCAAGATCAAATGAAAACCAAACTTTAGATTTTGGGTTAAAACCATGGACTCTCTGACCCAACCTGGGCTTGCAACGGGCCTGCTTGCTGCTTGCAGGCAGAAGAAGTGGGAGGGTCCTGCCCAGTAAGAGGTGCTCCTGGGACTTCGGGAAAGCAGGCTTGTAGGCTGAGTCCTTAGGGAAAGGATGGCTTCAAGAGCACTGCAGGCTCTCAAATGTCCAACTCTTCTCTACCAGGCAATGTGACCTTATGAGGAAAAAGAGTAAGATACCTAAGGATATTGTCGTAGCCACACAGTAGAATTCTAATAGAAAAAAGTATGAATGGTTTCTATATAAAAGACATATATTAGGCTTCTGTGAATGTCAGTTTCTAGACAATGAAAACTTTTAGTAAAGATTTAAGATTTTGTGAAAGATGCCAGTCCTTAGCCTGATGACCTAAAACATAATAGTATTCAAAGGCAGCTGTGCTCCCCAAGTGAAAATCTGATTTGAGACCACTCTCAACACATTATCTTTTGTTCTTTCTTCCACTCTGTGGTGTTCAAACTGATTGTCATTTCTTCCTACATAATCATTTAGTAAAAATGACCAATATGCAGCAAGAACACAGAGATGATTTGAAAATGTACTCTATTATTACAAATATTATGCAAACTATTTTGAGATATATTAACTGTGTATTCTCATTGTTGTATTTCTTTTTAAAAATAATTTATTTATTTATATATATTTTACATCATTATTCATTTTTTTAACAATGTTTGCTTTCTTTTCTCAGGTAGTCCCCATAGAATTTCTACCACCGATTTGTATAAAAAGTGTGCTATCTACCATATCTAATCTAGACTTAAAAGATGATTTCTGTATCAAATGAAAGTGAACAAGAGCATCTGTTTGCTTCATCATATATAAAGCATCTAGACATCTGCACTATATTGTCTTAAACATCTATATAAACTGAAAAAATAAAAAAGCGTGAATGAAATATTAAAAATTGATACATAGGGGCCTGGCGCTCTCCTGCTGTTGGAAGCCAGCACCCAGCACATAGCAGGTGCTCAGTTCATGTTTTTAAATAGGACTCAGCAGAGTTCTAATGAAGCACTCTCAAGAAAACACAAATCTAAACAGACTTCAGAGAAATAGATCTTTTGTCATGAAAGGGAGCAGAGCTTCTCTAGCTCTATTCATTCTCACCTTTCTGGTCCAAATTATTCTGGTACTGGTCAGAGAACTGAACTAGTCAGAGTTCTACAGAGAAACAGAGACAATGGACATGAAAAGAGAAGGAGAGAGCAAGAGATTTTAAGGAATTTATTCATGTAACTGCAAAAGTTGGAAAATCCAAAACCTGCAAGGTAGACGAGCAGCCTGGAGACCCAGGGAAGAGTTGCAGTTTGCATCCTAAGGCATTCTGCTAACAGAATTCCTTTTTTTCTGCAGGAAAAAAGTCTTTTTTATATAAATTAAGGCCTTCAACTGATTAGGTGAGGCCCACCCACATTAAAAGTATCCGCTTTAGTCAATCGCTACAGATTTAAACACTAATCTTATCTAAAAAGTACCTTTACAGAAACATCTAGAATAATGTTTTATCAATGATCTGGGTACTGTGGTGGACACATAAAATCATCCATCACAAGGACCGTAACAGCAGGTAAAACAACAAAGCCCCAGGATGAGGGGGAGATAATAAAAGGGCACCTAGAAAATGAGAGCTGGGTCCTTCCTCCTTCCTCAGCAGCCTGCAGCCTAGCAGTCAGAAAATGAGCTCTTAGAGCTACCGTGGGGAGCTGCTCTGCTGTCCATAAGACATGGGCCATTCTGGTGGGCAAGAAGGGCAAGAGGTGGCTCCATAAGCCCTGAATCTTATGTTTACCCTTGACATGACAGGACTCTAAAATGCAAAAACCCCAATGCTTCAGACCTTAGAAAAGGAGGTGATGAGGACCCAAAACCGTGTCACATCCAGCTAATTTCGTGTGTGTGTGTGTGTGTGTGATCTCAAGATTAGTAAATCAAGGAAATATGGAGAGTAATCTGTATTTCAGCAAGACACCTGGCAAGGAAGTTCTAGAGGCCAAGATGGAGAAATACATTCAGTCACAAGTTTAGTAATTTCACAGTTGGTTCAACTGGTCCCAAAATTATGACTGGTGTCACCTGGAGGGCTGTCTCCCTCCTGTCATGTTCCAGACCATCACCCTTGAGGCTGTCCTGTCCACCACTTTTCAGTGACTTGACAATATTATAGTCGGTGTGCTTGTCAGACCTGTGCCTGGATTGATAGCGTATTCACTGACTGACTAAGAGAACAACAGAAGACTTTGATAATGACTTATATATTCTAAAATGGAGTTTAATAAAGATAAGATTAGATGATGAACTTTTGGGTGCAAAAAAAAACTTAACTTCTTAAGTTTAGAGCAGAGGAGCAGAAATTAAAGAAGAAAATATCTTACAAGATTGTAGTAGTAGTAAATGTAATGCAAGCATATCATGGTTACCAGTTAAGCACAAGTTCCCAACATGTCTAACAGGGTCCTATTAGGTGGGAGGTGGTAGCTTATTCTGCTCTGGATTGGTCAGACTTCATCTAAAGCATCTTGCTTCTTTCTTTCTGAGATTCACAGTTTTAGCATAGAAACAGCTGATAACTTTCAGGGGAGAGTGATCAGAGACTTGTTTGTTGATTGGGTTTGAAGTAATCAAGGAACCATGGGCCTGGGTATGTCTTAGAGGGACAAGAGAATGAAAAACCGAATTGCTCTGTACCAAGGGGTAGAACATGGATCAGAAACTGACAAATTTTCAGTAAACAAACTGGTTCAACGAAAACTGGAATTTTCCAGCCATTAAAGATGACCTTGTATCTATTATTGAAAGGGACATCACAGCGTTAAGAGGTTGTATGAGAGGATTCAGTGGGTCTTCTGTAACCTTGAAGGGGAATCTGGAAAAGAAATAACTCTGTGAAATACTACAGTAAGTGCATAGAGTAAAAAGAATGATGTAGCTGATGTTTTCCATGTACCTTCTTGGTATCAAGCTGTTAAAGTTTGCATTTGCCACTGACCACAGTCTCTAAAATGTTTGTTATCATTTACCTCAATATTATAGACAAAAATGTTGAAATTTTGGGACACAAACTGAACTGTCCAATCTTACATGATTAGTAAATGGTGGATTTGTTCACTCTGATCTGTGAGACTTCGGTGATAAAACGACCAGCACTTTCCAGGGAATGGGGCAAGTGGATTTTGTATTAAGAGCATAAGATGAGGGCCTCCCCGGTGGCTCAGCGTTTGAGCGCTGGTTTGCAAAGCTGCCCCCAGCCTCTGCAGCGCCGGTTCAATCCCCGGCTGCTCCCCGGCTGCTCCCCGGCCACCGGAGGAGGGTCCCACATGGCGCGCAGACCTCTCTTGCCACCTGCTGCTCCCCTCAGCAGTGTACTTCGGTCCTTCTGCCTGTTCTGCTCCCCGCTCTGGCTCTGGTGAATTCTCTCGCCCTCCCGCGCTTCTGACTGTACCCAGTGCTTGTATAAATAAATAAATAAATCTTTTTTTTTAAAAAAAAAAGAGCATAAGATGGGAGGAAAAGTCTGGGAGAGAGACCTGAGTTGTCTCTCCTGGTCTTTGCCTTAGTCAATTCCTATATGAGTAGAACATGTGGGAGAAATTAAGGGAAGAAAAATGACAAAGTAAAATAAACAAAACCCATAAATCCTGGTCAGAATTTAGGCTGAAAGCATCACCAAAGACAGCCAGTCCTATGGAGGATAATTACATACAATTTGAACTTGAAATGTCTATGGGAAGAAATCATGGAAAGCAAGCCAGATGGAAGTCTTCCTATAATTTGGACAGATTTTCACTGAAAGCAGGAAGTTTCTACCTGCAAGAATGAAGCCGTGTGCAGAAAATCACTAGGTGTCCATGAAAGGAACCAAAACTGGTCAACATCCTGGGTGATCCCAAGATCTGCCCTCTGTCAGAGGGCTAACAGATCAAGCTGTTAATCAGGTTCATAGACACTTATCTCAGGAATAGAGGGTCCTACCCAGAGAAGTAGGATCCCCTGTGTTCCCACAAGCCCAAGAACCATATCTCACTTACTTGCAATGAACAATGGGTCAAAATCTGTAGAAATGAAAGTCTGCTATTTGGAACCAGAAAGAGAAGTGACACACCTGCTAGCAGAATTCTGAGTTTTCATAGCTGTCAGAATTCAAGCACAAAGGTGGCAATGAAGAACGTGAATTGAATGTATTTTGTCTTTGTGATCAAACATGAGGACGTTAATTGGCCAAATATTTTAACGATCTGCATAATTTATCCATCAGTGAGATAAAGACATGGAAGTGAGTCTTTTAAATGCATTACTGAAAATAAAATGTCCTGAGCTGAACTGTGTTCCAACCAAAAATTTTTATGTTGAAGTCCTAACCCCCTGTTCTTCTGAAAAGGACTGCATTTGGAAAGAGGACCTTTAAATAGATAATTAAGATAAAATTAGGTCACATGGATGAACCATGCTCCAATATGACTCTCCTTATAACAAGAGATTAGGACACAGACAAGACACAGACACACAGGAAAGACCGAGAATACAAGAAGGTGGTTGTCTGCAAACCAAGGAGAGACCTCACCGAAACCAAACCTACCAACACCTTGATCTTGGAATTCTAGCCTCTAGAACTGTAAGCAAATAAATTTCTGCTGTTGAAGTGATCTAGTGCTTTGTTATGACAGTCCAAGCAAACTAAAGCACATTTCAAAACCACTTTGCCTTTTCTACTTGGTTACAAACAGCTGCAAAATGTCCATGTCTGCTATCTCCTGGGCCATCAGACACAACTGAGGCAGCCCCAGCCAGCAAGCAATCAGAAAACCCTCAACCTACATGATCTCAACCAACATGTGAACTTTGATTTCACAAAACTTAGTAATGTCCTCCCAGTGGAATCTTCAATAATAAGAAAAATGGTATAGAGCCAAGATTTCAATATCATGAACACTGAAGTACACAGATACACACACCACAGTTAGCTCAGGGTAGTTGAGGAGAGAAGCAAATGAATTCATGGTTAGTGTCATGATAAGATATGACGGTGGAAAAAGTGCCCAGTATCACAAAAGAAAACCCCAGTTGGAATGATATTAACTCTGCATATGACAGTGATAACATCACTTATCACAAATAAGAATATCCCAAATGGACTTGGCTTTTTAAAACAAGAGCATTTTCTGCTCTTTTGGATCAGCAAAAACCAGCTCACTGAACTGTCTGTTCTGGAATCAGATAAATTTCCACACTGTAGTTGTTAATGACAGGCTACACAGATAATTCAAATCAACCATATGGTTGGGAAATCACAGTTTTCACAGTTTAAGTTCAATTTTCAAGCTCTTCTTCTGAAATAACTTTGGGGGCATACAGTGCATTTTACAAATGCTTAATAGAGTGGCAATTTCTGTGTGACAGATTTTAGAAACCATCAGGTGAAGTGAACCAAGTGGTGGCCTGGCTGGGGCCATGAGGGTTCTCACTGTAACTTCAATATGGGCTCTGAGAATAATCAACACCACTACTCCCACGTGAGAAATTTCAGCATGTTTTGAGAAATGTCAGTTTTGGCAGAAATGTCTTACCAGAGGGCTTTTCCTATTTGCATATTTATGAAGGCCCATGTTCATTTGCATATTTCTTTCTTAGCAGGCTTGATGGGAACAAACTCACCTTTTCTACTGAGTTCTGCACCTCTATGCATTCATTCACCAGCCAAATGACACATACTGCCCCCGACGCTCGCACAGCCTGAACTTGCCTGCCTCCATGCCTTTGCACATGCTGGCCTCCGTGCACCTGCACAGCCTGTCACTACCACTACATGTCCAAATCCACCTGCCTCCAAGGCCTGGTCCAAACACTGCCTCCCTTGCTAGCACTGTGAGTCCTAAGGTAAGTTCCATCCTGAAACTTCAGCTCATCTC